TGGGAGGTTTGCTAAGCACTCCAGAAGCTAGAGTCACTCTCGGCTATCGCCTAGAGCGACTCTTACGCTTCTTTCGTACTTAGCAACCTCCCAAGTGCATCCATAACTCAATAGTGTACGCTGTGGTGTTTACCATTTGTTAATTGTAATTGATCTGGAAGAACTCCATAAGATGGATCAGTAAAGTTTGTATGTCCAATAGGTTTACTCGCCCACCTCAGACGGGCTTTCCCTGACGGTTCACTGCTTCCCGTTTCTACACATAGATGTTGAGGCATTGCAAGATTTAAGAACTCAACTGAATAACCCTGCCAGGTCTCCAAACCAGACCTCTGCATGCACTGACCCCAGTGCTCCAACCATTAGGATACTATGTTTTTCCCAAAACAGTCCCAATCCCAACCCTCTGTATATCACTGAATTGCATATGGTGTGCAATGTTTTTACTTAATAATGAACAGGAGGAAAAGAATTCCAACAGTACTGTAGTGGAACATTGGAGGTCTTCTACTCACTGTGCGAGGAACAGCAAATGCAAAAATGATGGTTCCCTATTCAGTGAATTTCTTGATGCTTTATCTCCCAACATACTTCGTGTTTGTTGAAAATATTTTCCTAAAAATTTACTAAACCCTTTAACTTTTGGTTAGATCTTGAGGTATATCGTTTACCTTCAGTTACCTCTGATTTAATAACTTCATTTTCTTACCTCAACTGTGCAATTTAAGTCTTTATATATATTTTAAAAAAAAGTTGTTATGTTTCAGATATGTTTCAGCATTCGCTATGACGAAGGGCTAACGTTCGAAACGTCAGCTTTTTAACTCTTTACGGTGGCCAATTCACAATTTCAACTTAGTTGATATTATCAAATTAACTTTTTTTTAAGCGTATCCTGCATTAGTTTCACTGTTAAAGATAAAGAGATTTTCCCGGGCCTGTTTCGCCAAAATTATAAGTTAGTAAGAGCAGTTTTCAATTGAGTATCAATAGACAAAAAACAAAGTAATTACAACTTCCAATCAGAATAAAGGTTAACATCACTATTAACCAATGAGAACTCCAAGTAAAACAGGCAACGTGCTTAAAGTGCAGGAAAACATGACTGACTACGTTCATGTCCAGATTGGTTTAGTTTTGTGTTGGATTGGTTAAGAATGTGTCGCGAGTTTTCTGGACCAATCACAGAGCAAAATAAAGCAAAACCAAAGCAATCCAGGATTACCTTCCAAACTCAATTGAAAATTTGTTCTATGGGAAAATCTTTGTTACTTCTCTGTAAAAGTGAATTTTACAACAACAATGAATTTCTCATCACTCAACAAGCACTGTAATATAGACCAGAAGGGATTAGAAGGAATTCTGAAACAAAAGAAACATTTTTCTTCTTTTTAAGATCTTACTAAAATTGCAATTATACAGAAAGGGAGCTTATTTGGGGGAGGGCTCCTTTTAGAGCCTAAGCGCTCTGAACTTACACTGGACATTGATTCTGACTGTTTTTTTCTTCCCTTCCACCGACATTTTCTGCGATACTTTTGTCA